CAGGGTGATTGGCCGTACTCTTAAGGGATTAATGCTTTTCTTTTCTTTGACTCTTTCCCTAGCCCATGGTATTCCCTGATTTTATTATCAATTTCTCAGGCAAATACTTTCCCTTAATTCAACAGGACTAACACTCTCTTGAGGAAGGCAGAAAACTTCAATAATGCAAAAGGAAAGCTTGAAATTAGGAGCATGAACTTTACTCCAATTCTAGCTCTAACTAGCTCTAACTAGTTCAGGAAATTATATTCTAATGCTTTGACTCAGTTTTCCCATTCATTTACTAACATAAACCCACGAGACAAAGTCATACTAAAAGGATTGAGTTACTTGGCAAATACCTAGTAGAAATATGTAAATAATAAATTACAAATTTTTCCCAGGACACACATTTTTAAGGGAAAGACAAATTTGTGCTGAATTTCCATCCTTGTTCATCCTTAAGTAGGGAATGGACTCATATATATACATATATATATATTTATATATGTGTACATATATAAATATATATGTTATACATATATATATAAATATATATGTATAAAAATAAGTTAAAAGGACAAAAATTTGTGCATTGTTTGGCTGGGGGAGCATTTCCAATGACGTCTTTCACCAGCCAGCCCTCCCCCATGCAGCCTAGAATACCATGTTCATGATGGTGAGGATGTAGGACTCCACGTTCTCACTCCCATGATACTCGATCATCTTCGTGTCAGCCACCACCAGCGTCTCCACCCAGCGCTCCTTGCTGATGGAACGCCGAGAGAGGCTTCTGCTTGGCAAGTTGTTCCTCTCCCACTTCTCCCGCTGCAGCTCTTGCTTCTGGGAGGTGTCAGCACCGTCTAAACATTAAACAGAAAATAGCGGCCTAATTCTATATATGTCTCATACATTATCTACGTACGTTTGTAAAGATGCAAGGCTGTAGGTTTATGTTTAATAACATATGAGTGCAATGTTCGTACATACATACTGAAATAGAAGATCATTTTAAATTAAGATGACTGATGTAACTCAAATTTGAATCCAACAGAGAGGTTCAAAAAGTACTTCTTTAAAATAATTATTACTTATTTCATTAAATTATGTTTCCATTACTAAAAATATATAATCGAGAATGGGAATTTCTTTTTCTCTTTCTCCTCTAAATTATTCAGTACCTACTGTATGCAAGGCAGTATAGTAGGCTTTTATCCTCCTGCCAAATTGTTTATCCTCATGAATAACTAAGGTACATATTCATCTCTCTATTTTGCAAGTGTAGAAATTGATGCTCAAAGTGGCTGGTTCAATAGTCACACAGCCCATCCATTCTGTAGAAGATCCAGGATTTTCTGTGCCCTAAAATCATGCACTCTGCCTCTTACAGAGTGAACATGCATAAAACCAGAGTACATATAAACTGGGAAGCCTGCAGGAGGTTCAGGGCACCCCACTTCCAGAAGGTATAAAAAGAGCTGACTCCAAAGAAAGACAGTAGAATTATCAAGGTGACTAACAGGTTTCAGTATAAAAAAGATTTACTATATGAGGATCATGGTTTGGAAGACAAAATCTAGACAAGGCCATAGAATTATGTAGAAAATTGGAAAGAAGCTGCACAAAAATCATTCTCAAAATCCCAGAATACTGTAACCAGGGAACACATTCTAACCTGAAAAAGGTCAATTTAAAACCAAAATGGAATCAAGGGCTACTCCACACATAGGGAAGCAAGTGCTTAGCCCACGTGGTGGTCAACTCTAAAAAGGTTCAGAGAGCTCAGAATGGCCGGGGGAGCTAAGGAAAGATGTTCAGGGGAGTGAGTGAACAAAGAGGCTGGGCTGACTGCATGCCCTTCCCGCCTGTCCCCTACCTGCGCCTGGACCCCTGGCAGGGGCAGAATATGGAAGTGGGAGGCAAACCTCACGTCTTCTTCCTAACCTGGTGATGGCCCTTCATCTTCACTGGGTTACTTCCGGTGGGGGAGAGGCACGTGCCAGCTCACAGGGCATCTTGTTCTGTTGGGAAGTTATCTCCCGCCCTCAGCCAAAACCTGCCTCCCTGTAATTCTCACTCATTAGTTCTGGTCCCGTTCTTGGAAGCATCTAGAATAACGCCTCCTCCTGAGGTCCTGCCTCAGACCCTGAATTGGGACAACTAACACCTCACCCTCCCATCTCCCCCAGTGCTCTTTAGGTGCTAGAGCTGGTCACATGATTTGCTATATAACCCTTCCTGGTCCTCAGTGTCACCATCCATGTGAAGCCAGAACACGTTAAGCAATGTTGACAGAAGACATGAAACATCATCATAGGCATAAATATATACAAATTCCATTTCTGTCAGTTTTATTTCAAAATAATAATACTTTGATGTAACACATTTGACAAATAATCCAGGATTAAGTAAACTTTGGAGGCAAGCCCTGGAAGGGTTTACAAATGGGGAAATGGTTAACCCCTCATCTGTGGTAGAATCATTTTCTATTTTCTCTCTCCACTTGCTTTGCATGGAGAAGTATATTCCCTAAGAAAAGCCCAGAGATTTTATCAATGAGGTCTAACTCTCTGCACTATCCCATTCCCCCATCAGTCTCTCATTCCTTTTTTGAAGCTCATGGGCATGTTTTCAAATCTCTATCCATGTTAGAATGTCTCCGTGCAAGCCAGGCAGCCAGCCACCCTTGAGCCCATGTGGGCTGGTGTTTTCTGGAAGGGATGTTGCAGACTGGGCTGAGTACAGGAACCCGGTCAACATAGACCAGGTGCCATCCCCTTCTCTCAGCCTCTCCTGTCTTGCCTGGTGGGGGTGGGTCTGCTTCCTGCTGAGCTGGTGTGCCAGGGCCACCGGTAGGGCAGATGGCATCCTCACCCAGAGCCCTAGAAGAGCCCTTGGTGCCCCATCTCCCTCCCCTGGGTGCTGGTCCCCTCACGGAGGTGGTTATCAGAGACCACACAGTGAGTGCTCAACCCTTTCATTAAGGCAGGACCCTGCGTTCCAGCTGTAGCCTTGGTCCTATAGAGGGTCCCTTCTCCTTCTGGCCCTCAGATGTCTAAGGTTAGAAGCTGGCAGGAGGCTGTCACCAGTGAGAAACTGGTAGAAAGGAGTAGTAATTTCTCTGCTTCCCGTAGTCCTATCTCTCTCTCTGCTCACTTCTTCTTTACCCTCTCCTTCTTCTCCTTTTTCCCAGAGTCTTGAGAAAGAGCTGCTACTGGCTGAATGTTTATGTCCTGCCCAAATGCATGTGTTGAAGCCTTAACCCCAGTGCAATGGTATTTTGAGGTTGGGGCCTTTGGTGGTGATTAGGCTTAGACGAAATTTTAGAGCAGCACCCCAAACATGGGATTAGTGTCCTTATAAGAAGAGGAAGAGCCACGAGAGCACTTGTGCATGCTCTCTCACTCTCTCTCTGTGAGTGCACAGCAAGAAGGCAACAAACAAGGAGGACCATCACCAGGCAACAAATCTGCCCACACCTTGATCTTGGACTTCCAATTTTTAGAACTTTAAGAAATAAATTTCTGCTGTTTAAGACACAGTCTACAACATTTTGTCACTGCAGCCTGAGTTAATAAGAGTTAAAAAAAAAATCTTTAAAGCGCATCAAGTTACTTTTACTTCTCCAGCAAATAGGACTCAGTAAATGGTCTCTAGGAGGAACTGTGGAATGACAGATGGAGTCTGGTGAGGGCATATATTTACTTTAAATCTTTCAACAAAACCTACATTTAGCACTTGTTCAAGTTCAGCTCTTATGCTAAGCACATAGCCCAATATGTCACTTAATTGTGCCAACAATTCCATGAGATAAGTCCTATTATTATCATCATTGTTTAGATGAAGAAACTGAGCCTCAAAGTGATTAGGTAATTTTTCCAAAGTCACATAGTGTAGGACAGAGCCCAGATCCAGCCAAGCCTGTCTGATTCCACTGCAGCAACAACAAACATTTATACAATAGGCTCTATGGGCAGGGCCCACACTATCTCCTAGAAGCAGAGGCAAAGCGGTAAGTGACATGATCCTTGACCAATCTAACTGTGGGCAATGCAACAAGAACATAAGAAAATTTGATTATCGGATTTCAAATAATTCCCAAGCAGAGGCATATCAATTCCATTACAGATAGAGCCAGAAGCTTTGCAGAGGTGGTGTGATTGAATGGGACTACCTTGGGAGATAGGATTACATATTAATATATTTGGGCTGACTCTGCTGAATCTTAATGAAATCATCCCACGTTTGACAGAAGAAATGTTTCTGCTAAGCAATTTTAGAAAGTACAAGAAGCCATCCCTAGAGATTTATCTCCAAAGCCTAATGATATAGCCAGCTAGTTCTTTGGGATAGGCGAGATGCCAACGATTCTGAGAAGCTCCCCTGACCACCACCCCCGCCCCGACACACACACTGTATTTACCAACCCCTATTCTGGGTTAGAATAGTTTTTGGGCAAACCCCCATCTGAGTTCTTTCCACACCGATATAATTTCCTGTTGCTTGAGGGGCTCTCCAATCAGGCTTTATGCAGCTAAAGGGCCAGAAAAACATCTCCTTTACCTTTTACGCAGTGCCTAACACTGTGCTTGGCAAACAGTGGCATCCAATACATGTCTGAGGCATAGGTAAAGGAAGAACTGAAGATGAGTCAGAACTGATTCATGAGTCACACATAAGAAGGAAATGCAAGAGTTGTACATTTTTTCCTCGGGCGATGATTTGTTCTCAATTAGAGCATTCTCCACACTGAGACCGTTAAGTGTTTTGAGTGCAGAAATCCAGCCAGAGGGGCAGTGTAAGTAAGGACAATTCCCAGTGCTGACAGAGGACTGACTTTCCTAAACCTGAAGCTAAGGGAGTGCAGACATCTGTCCAGCGTTGGCTGAAATGTCTGGGGCACCCTGACCCCTAACGGAGCAGAAGTCCTAGAGATCCACAGCAATACAATTTAATGAGTACTCTTTCCTTCCCAAGATACTACAGGCAGCTCTTCAGAAAGTTCTCTCTCTCTCATTCAGGGAGTTCTTGGGTAGCGGAGCCCTCACCTACTGCTGATCTCTGAGACTCAGGGTCCTCTGCAGACAGGCATGGATGACACCTTGACCAAGTCACACAGAAGAGCCTGGAGTAGTTCTAGGGAGCAAGGAATGTGGACACAGACAGTGGAAGACTCTGGAAATTACAAAGCTTCTAGCACATTCAGGGTGGCTCTTTAGTGTGTCAGTAGATTCTAGCATGGACAATGAGGCTGCCCCTTCTGCTTAGAGAATGGCCCAAGGTTCTGCCTCCTGCCCTGACTCAACTGTTGCCTCATCTGGATTCTCTTCTGCAACCTCCTACTAGATTTCCTGTACAGAAAGAGGATTTCTGCCCAGCCATCAAGCTTGACCACTCATTGGAAATTGGCCACTAATGAGATCTACTACATAGTCTGAGGTCTGGCTTCCCATAAGGTGACCCCCTCAAGTTGGTCTTCTCCAGCCCCTACTCTGCAGCTTCAGACAAGTATGAGCCTGCACCCTGATTCCCACCTTCCTGCCACCACATGAGGAAGGTCCCCAAAACATGACGCCTTGGCAACAACACAGTGACACAGCACTAACAACCCCCTAGAGTGGAGTGCCTAGCAAGAGCCCAGCTCTGTGCTAAACATGCTTTTGGATTAGATCATTCATCTTTTAATTGCCACAGTAAGGACATGAAGTTAAGTCTTGAAATTTTATTTATTTATTTTTTTCTCCATCTTCTCAGAAATTATTGCCAACTGTAAAGTGAGAAAAATGAGACTCAGAGATGTCAAAGAGTTTGTTCGAAGTCTCACAGCCAATGAGCAGAAGAACTAGCTGAGTTAGTCTGAATCTCATGAAAGCCGGTGGTGTGGAGATTGGGTGGGATTCCTGGGTATCACCTGCCTAGAAACTGCAATGTGAGGAATGGAAAGGATCATCTAAGGGAGAAGCCGGACCAAACACCATCTGAGTCCCAGCCCTTCAGGTCCCCACCAGTCTTAAGCAATGCTTTGAGGACGTTTGTCCAGGAAAAGTTCAATAGGTAATATGTGACCTTTTAACATTAGATTCCTGGAGACAATGCCCCGCTTCTCTTGTAGAACCCATATGAGCACGACTTGGAAGATGTCCTAGGCAAGCTCTGGAGAGATGTCACCAGGAAGAAAGAAGGAAGACATCTCAAGATTCATAGGACCTGGGTAGCCTTTATGCAGGTCCACTGTTGACAGTGGCTCACTCTCAGTGCCTGTCAGCCTGGCCTGAAGCACTTGTCACCTTGGACAAGTGTTCTTATCTCTTCCTCTGTTTAATGAAGAAACTGAATTGAATTCCTACTTTCAATACTCTAAGGATCATGGAACCCTTTCTTTTAGACAAAGATTATGCAGAAAATAAGGGCCAAAAAAAACCCCAAAGCTGCTGTGATCATCGAAGTGTGGCAGATGGCCTGGAGGGAGATTCCACCTGGCACAGCTTTCAACTACCAACTGACACCACCTCTAAGGGTCTTTCGAGTTTTAGCATTCTCTGAGCTGAGCAAAGGTAAGCAAACACACCTTTCCACTGCCTACACGTACTTGTCAGCATTTTGCTATTACCACACAATTGCAACCAGACCTCCTTCTTGGCAGATCATCGTGGCCTTTCCCAGTGGAGTCGAAAGCCCATGCTGGTGTGCATGTCCGCCAGCAACAGCAGCTGAGCAGCCAGAGGTGTCTGTCCCTTCAGGCCAGCTTTAGGTAGATTTGAAGTACCGCAGCTAGGAAGCTCATTTTCATTCCAAAAAAAGTCTACCTCATTCACTGTGAATTGAAAATAGTTTTACATTTAGGTAATAGACTATCCATTTCTCAAAACTGGCCACTGTTGAAGCGAAAACAGCTGTTTTTAATGATAAACAGGCGAAGCAACACGAGTCTAAGTGTTGGCAACTAGTAGTTAGCAAAATCACATACTCCCCAGGCTTAAGGGTGTGGACACAAAAAGTGTAAGCACCTGAAAAAAAAAATCAAAGTGATATGTATTACCCAATCCATGAATAGTCCTGCTTGACACTGTCCTCACTTCATTCAGAATGTGTCCAAAAAGAAGAAGGACATGATGGGTCATTTGGGACACATGAAACTTCCCACAAAATAACAACATCATTAAATCAAGTGTAAGTAAAAGAGATGTTTTTAGATTCCTCCAGAAAGTCAATAAACAGAATGAATTTAAATAATAATTTGATCTATTATTAGTTTATTTTAAATCATCCATGTCATTCATTGCTAGCACTTGTAATGAAAAGTAACTTCACTGATTTGAGATCTAAACCGCACACTTTCTTTCCATTTCTTACTCTCTGATAGGAATGTGCTCATGCATTTCTCCCAATGAAGACCGGATGTGGAGGAGGCAGCTAAGGGCAGAAGGAAGGCAAACAAAAAGTTATATAATCAACCAAGTGGATAATGGGTCCTAGCATGCATCAACATTAATAGAACTCCACTGACACACTTCCCTCAGCTTAGTGACTAAGGATTGGTGAATAACCCAGGGACTTTCACTCTTCACCCAAGGCTCCATGAAATGCTTTTTATGGTCTCTATGACCTCAGAGGTGAGCTCTCTCCATTGCTGAAAGTGTCCAAAGAGTTTACTCCTGCATGGTTCTATTTCATGTAAGGTATGAATTTCTTCTGGCCTCTAAAAGACTATCTATATTGTGAATCTCCAAGTGAGAAACTTAGTACACTTTACAGTGAGTCCCACATTGTTTTTGGAGTTCCCAATAATACCCACTGTTTTGTGGCACATCACTTGGGAAATACAGCTTTTAAGGGATGCTAGCTTAGGAAGGGAGATTAAATGATGGCTAACGTCTATTCATATATTCTAAGTCTGTCATTCTATGGTGCTCTGTGTGGGAGTGAAGAATGAAAAGTCTTGTCCAGGAGCTATGGAGTGGGCACAGAAAGCCAGGGCACCTGTTCCTTCAAGTAACTTATGCTCTTTTGTTAGGGTGCTCGTGGTCTTAAGGAAAGTTTACATCCTGATGGACCAGAAAGACTATAACTTAAGTAAAGACCCTGAGGAAATAGGAGAGACAAGAGAAGGGTCTCTCAGAGGATGCACTATTATCTTCCATTTGCAGGGAGATGGGTGTGGATGATGGAAGAGCACAGAGCCCCCATCTCAGCATTTCCTTAGGGGGCCCTGAGCTTCAGCAGAACCTTCCAAACACAGGCCCACACTAGGACTCCTTACCTACTTCCTTACACATTCTGGCCATACTTTTAGAAATGACTCACTGAGTTCTACAAACATAGTGTGTGCTCAGTAAATACAGTGCTAACTGCTCACAGGGACCTAAGGCTAACTGTTGACATAAGAAGAAAAAATGATTCAGTACTATCTAAATCAATCTAGGCAACCCTTAGGTGGGACACTTAAGGTGGGCATCCTCTCTGTGTCCCTTCCCCAGCCACCTGGGTCCCTCCTTTGTTGTCTGCATCAAGTCCTTAAAACTTACTATGTCAAAGATTGAACACACCTGGGGGAATTTGTGCCTTCTTTTATGGTGACTATGTTAGACTGACAATTGTCCCCAGATTTGTTCTTCCCCTCTTCCTCTTTAATTTTTTTGTGGATGGTTGGCTTCCTAGAATCAAGACTAAATTTCCCAGCCTCCCTTGCAGCTAAATTATGATCAATAGCTCACAAGGGAAATTGCTACATGCAACTTCAGAACTTAAAGAGAGGGCAGGGGCCCTTCTCCTCCTTTTCCTCATTCCTGAACTAAAGCTGGATGGTCTGGAGTAGACAAGGGAGTAGAATCCAGATGTTAATGAAGATAGAATAATAAAATAGAAGACAGGCAGCGGAAAGGGCCTGAGTTCCTGATGATTGTTGAGGCAAAACTTTGGATATTTTATCTTTAAATTTTAATTATGTGTAAGATAAATAAAAGTCTACTTTTCAACTAAAATGGAAGAGGGATGTTTTGTCTGTTTTGCTCACTTATTTTATACCTAGTACTTAGAATAGATCCTTGCATTCAGTAATATTTTAAATAAATCAATCTTATACAGTACAGAGACCTTGAGAAACCATCTCCCACGCCTTTCAACAGATAACAACAAAGCGATTCTATGCTGACCAGACTTCATTTTTACAGAAGATGAAAGGGATCCTATTTACCTGCTGTCATATTTACATACATGTGGACTTATTACAAACCTACATACATGTGGGCATATTTACAGTGCTTGCCATCTAACACTCTGGTTTATAAAACAGAGCGTGTTGCATGGCTATTTATTATAAATATAGTATTTATACTCATTCAGGTTTCAAAGTGGTCTGTTTTCCTCCTAGCATACACAGCCCTACTGCACCCAGAACCTAGGCCAAATAGGTCTATTTCCTTACAATTTTCCTCTATGGGGTATTTTTTGTAGATTGGTTGGTTTTATTTGGTTTCTAGCTCACCCCTTAACTGAAAATGACACTTTTGGAAGTTTCAGCTTTATGTAGGTGTCTGCTTCCAGCTCTCCCTTTCTAGGGGCTCAGAAACTTGTCATCAGTGCCCTACACATAAGTTCTTAAGATCCAGACCCCAGGGCTCCAGGCAAGCCATCGTCTTCAGCATTTGGTTACCTCCGATGACTGCATTCCCATAGTTTCTTTCTTTTTCTTTCTTTGTCTCTGTCTCTCTGCTTCTGAGAACTTTGCTCATGAATTCTTGCCCATGCCACTATCCACATTTGAAAAAAAGAAATATTTTTTTTAAAGCTCTTCATCCAGAATTGTTAATTTTCCAAACTGGGAGAGAGAGGTAGGAGTTTCTGCAAGCTATCTAGTCTATAATATCCTTGTGTCATTTTTCATAGTGAAATTTAGCCTCACTATACTTATAAAATATGTACTTAATTATAAGAATGGTTTCATAAATATAGTTCCCCAATGTGTTATAAGAATTTGTTTTCTGAATAGTCTAAAGGCATTGAACACATCATTTTTTTTCTTAGGCCTTTGTGGCATCACAGGCTGACAGGGGAATTCAGGGCAGGAGGAAGTCAGGAGACATCAATTATTATTAATATAATCCTAGGGGACATTATATCAGCTGTAATCATGGCTCACTTTTCTTTTGTAACAAGTGTCAAAAGGAGAGAACCTCCAGTTTTCTTTCTTCTAATAAAGGTCAGAATGATATTCTGTTATGAACCAAAGGCAGGATTTTTATCTCTTAACAAATGAAGCAAATAAAATGGATTTGTCACTGTTAGTTCTCTTACCTCTGTGTTTCATTTAATTTTCTTCTGTCTGGGTCCACCTACTGTTTCAGACACCATCTCCTTGACAGGGAAAACTTTCTTTACAAGGGAGAACTGGACTGTGTCTCAGTCATCTGTGTAACTCAGGACACAGCATAGAGCCTGGAGGCTTTCAAAGACACGGTAAGTATTTGCAGAATGAGTGTGTGGATTCATTCACTTAGTATTTGTTTGTGGGGGTTGGGTAGTGTATATAGAGCAGCAAACAAAAAAGCGGCATTCACATTCTAATGAATCCAATCTGAGTTTGATCACTCATTCATCAAGGATGAGCTTTTCTGGGCCTAACTTGGGGACAATATCTAAAATGATTTCTCTAGAAAAGCGGGAAGTAGATAAACACCCAAAGGGTTCATTTGGGCTCCATGGAGCTCACTAATTTGCAAATGTTGAGCTGGTCTTAAACAACTGTCTGAAGATAAAGGCAACGTCAAGGGTGGCAGGACACTGGGCCCTTCACAGGCCTGAGGACAGGTCTCCCAGGCCCCTTGGACTCCCCCCACCCACTGGATGGACCAGGCTGGGGACAGATGCTGGTGAAGGGCCACGTAGGCATTAGGCAGGTCCCTGAGACTCGCTTCTCTGACTCACCATCTCACTCTGGAGGGTTCCCTACCTGCCAGAAGAAGGGTGTATATTTCAAATGCTGACAGCATCAGTGCCCACATGTGGAGCAACTATCTGGAAAGTGCTAGCAGGAGTGTTTTTTTGGCAAGAGACAGTCACTTGCAGAGAGAACTGGAGCCTACCTATGTGGGCCAGGGCCACAACTCAAGACACCCAACCCCACAAGCTGATGGTCACAGTGCAACTCTGATGGGAAATCTAAGTCCCACTTAGATTTCACTAAGTGGTCACTGTGCTGACCCCTCCCCAACTGTCCTTGAGGGCCCCCTTCATTCATTCAAGGGACATGTTATCCAACATTAAGGCTTAGCGAGTCATTGTGTTAACTTAGAGAGTTATTTGTTTCTCCTTCCCCAGCTCAGTGCAGCCCCTTAAGTCGAAAGCTACAACAAACATGCTCACATACCACGTTAGGCAAGTGCAGTTTCTTCAAGGAAATGTTATTCTGTGACTACAGTCCTCTCCTGACTCCAAGGGGCAAGGGAACCCATGAAATAACACGGTGTTCCCATTTCAGCTTTGAAATTTCACGGAAACACATGAAAGAAAGAGTGATGGTGGGCAATCTTTTTCTTTTTATCCATTTTACTGTATTTTCTGTATTACCTTTATCATTAGGAAAGTAAACTTTAAAAATATAGTGAAGATCCTTCACTTTTATTTCCTTCACCACAGTTTTATAATTTTATGGCAGCATTTTTTAAAGTTTCCTCTCCAATTTTCTTATTAATGTCTGTCTTTTTAACAGAATAACTAAAAGCTGTTCTCCCCAACCATCTAAAACGATCCCTACTAGCAACTGCCATCACATAATAACCTATATAATTATCGAGAAATATAAATCTACCCAATTTGGCTATTCATTCATTTCCTGGTTCTCCAAAGACAGAAAAGTAGACATGAGGAAAAATACAAAAATCAAGGATAAAAAAAGCTTCTCAGTAATAAGCTAACCATTCTTCAATGAAGGTATGTGACTGTTAAAGAGGTTCCAAAAATAAAAGCAAGCATTTCTATTAAGGACCTACAGACACATAAAAGATAAAGAAGAGACTCAACTCAGAGATAAACACGCTCCCTGGAGCGGTGGGAAGAACAGTGTGGGCTATGGAAGCAAAGGCCAATATGGCGGCACAGGCCACACACAGCGACGGAGCTCTTGAAATGTGCCGCATCCACACTGAGATGTGCTGTCAGTGCAAAATACACACTGGATTTCAAAAACTTAGCATGAAAAAAGAATGTAGACCATCATATTGATAATGTAACATTAATTACATGTTGAAATAATAACAATCTGGGCTAAGAAAAGTATTAATTTTCACCATTTCTTTTTCCTGTTCTTAATTTAGCTGGTAGAAAGTTGAAAATTACATCTGTGATGTGCCTCTGTGACTCACATATTTTATCGCTGAGCACCTGTTTAGAGCTCAAAACACTTGGAGATTAATCCAGGGTCTCCTAATTTTTTGCTGTTTTATCTAGAGTCAGGTTCAGAATTGCTGTAAGGAAGAAGTCAAGCACAATGCTGGCCACATAGCAGAGTCACAGTAATCACTATTTTGTTTTCCTCAATCTCATTGGCAATGAAAGAGATGACGTGTAGAGATAAAAACTCTAGTTCCCCTTGTTTTCAGTTAAAGCTGATTTAATTCTGATTAAGGAGAGCCATGTCTTTAACCAGCTTGGCTGTCTTGTCCCTGTCCTCACCTTCTTCTATGAATAAAAAAATGGCTGCCTAGTTCCAGACACTGGAACAAAGCGACAAGGAAGCAGCACTCAGATATGTAATTTTTATCAGTTGTTTTTCCATTCTCTTTTTTCAGGAGGGAGGGGAAGGGGGAGAGGGGAAGAGAGAGAGAGAGAGAAAGATCAGTAAGCCCTAACACAGAGATTTATTTTAAAAAGCAATCTCCTATCATAAATGAATGTGTAGATAAACAAAATGTGGTATATACGATGGACTATTATTAAGCCTTAAAAACAAAGGAAATTCTGACACATACTACAACATAGATGAATCTTGAGGATGTTACACTAAGTGAAATACTCCCTTCACAAAAGGACAAGTACTACACGATTCCACTTTCATGAGGTCCCTCGCAGAGTCAAATTCATAGAGGCAGAAAATAGAATAGTGGTTGCCAGGGGCTGAAGGTTTGGAAGGGGAAGGGAAATGGGAGTAATTGTTTAATTGGTATAGAGTTTCAGTCTGGAAAGATGAAAAAAGTTCTGGAGATGGATGGATGGTTGCACAACAATGTGAATACACTTAAAGCCACTGAAATGTTTTAAAATGATTTAAAAGATATATTTTATGTTAGGTATGTTTCATCAATGTTTTTTTATGTATTTTTTTAAAGTAACTTCTATGGTAGATGGCAGATATTGAAGTCAATACAGATCCATCAAATTTCTTGCACTTTCTGTAGCTGCTTTGACAAGTCCCATAGTGACCCTTGAGTCGCTAACAAGACTCAATCGCCTAAAACTGTCTCATGATTGCTAAAATGTGCTATTTCAACACTAATATTTCAATACCTATAATTGGAGTTATCAAAATAAGGCTTTTCTGACTAACTTTCAATTAACAAATTTTAATTAGCCAGAAATTCCATTGTCCAAAGCAGTACAGTGAAATGAAGTTTAACAATAACATTCATTGAAAGTTCTTTCTCTGGACCCTTCCTCAAGCCTTGACTGCAGCCTGGATGGTCCTGCCATCACCTAATTAGGGGCTGAGGCCAGGGATAGGGCCACAGCTGGTGGGGGCAGCAATGGTCACTCGACACTATATAGCTGGCTTTCCCGGAAAAGCAAAGGAAGGGAAGTAAATCTGCCCCAGTTGGTTGCTTCTAGGACTAGTGAAACAATGGAAAGACCTAAGTTTGAATTAATTTTTAATAGAATTATTTGTTAAAGCTCCAAAAGCTCTGTGACTTTCTCCCCTTCTCCTAGGGCTGCCATTCACCTACTAATACTGACAAACCAGTCTTGGCTTAACCTCTATGCCTCCGCCCATTCCTGCTCTCTTGGGGACATTAGGATTTCCTAGGCAGCTCTTTCTAGCTTAATACTGTCAACCTGATAGCCTGTCCTTTGTAGGACTGCTTGCTCTTTGGATTATACATTCCAAACATCTAAATTCTGTTGTCCAACCTTTCTTCTCCACTAAGTCCCTGTTTGCCCAAGAAGGAAGCTCTCATTACACATCTACCACCTGTAACTCCTCCCTGAGATGTGGCTTTGAGCCTCCAGGCTTTAAAATAGGGGCTCTGGAAGTTTCTCTTCTCAAAAATGGGGTAATGACCTCGATATACTTAAACTGTACTGTTTAATTTTAGGCATAAGGTACTGGGCACATATTCAGAAACTGCCAGGCCTGCGATAGGTTCTCTAGGGAAAGATAAAGTATAAACATAGCTCTTACTCTCAAGATGTTTTCTTATTTATTGGAGAAGACAAAAACCATCAGCAAGAAACAGAATCACACAAATGATAAGTGATTAAGTGTCACTAAGAGTGATGAGAGGATTTTAAAGAGAAAAAGAGCTCAAAGAAAGTTGGATTCAATTGAGCGCCTGCTCTTTTCCAGTCACCATGCCAGGCCCTGAAAGTACAGGGATGAATAAGTCAACTTTATTGCCACTGCAGGACTCGCCGTCTAGTTAGAGAAGCAGATGGAACAGACACACTTCTCGAGGTGGGAAGTAGGTCTTTCGGGGTGGGTAGAATGTAACCAGGCAGAGGACAGAGGACAGCAGATTGAATAAGCAGGATGGACAAAGGTATGGAGAGAAGAAAAAATATGTGGCCTTTCGAGAATTCAGAATGACCTGGATAATTCCAAATTGCCCAGTTCTAAGCTGTTTTTGTTTGTCAAATGACCAGGGGACATTAGCGCTCCTAATAATTATGTTATACTATAATTATGTTATACTTTGCTTATTAAAATCAGCCTGTATTTCTGAATCTACACAAGCCGGGATAATGAGAGGGAAACCAAAAAGCCTGCAAAAGGGTTGCAGATGGAAACGGGGCAGGGATTCTAGTTTCACTGCAAAGATTTCATAAAGCAGACCATTCCCATGTGCTTAACTGAGTAATGACTCATCATGGTTCTCAGCATATGAATATGAAAATTGAACAATGCCAAACAGATAAGCTAAAAGAATAAGTGAAATCTCCTTATTCTTCCCAATGTTAATACATTGCATTCATGTATTGCTCTCCAGCTCACAGAGCTAGTGTCTTTAACACAATAGTTGCTTCTCTTAAAACCTAGGGTAAGAGAGCGAGTATTACTAACCCCATGTCCCAGACAGGCCAACTACATTTTTAAAAGCTGGAGTTAGAAAGGGCAGACACCT